CCCAGCCAATGATGCCCTTGGCGATCTGTTGATAAGATAACACGCCATGTTAACAGCCTCATCCCAAAAGTGTTTGGGAAGCCTTGCATTCAACCGCAAACATCTGGCTCTTTCATTCAACGACTTATTCATTTGTTCCGCAATACCATTCTGTTGTGGTGTCTTGCGCACTGTAAAATGCCTCTTAATCTCATGCTCCTTACAGAACTGTAGAAACTATGAATCTATGTACTCCATACCATTGTCAAACCTCAAACACTTAATTTTTCGTCCTATTTGGTTTTCTACCTCAGCTTTCCACATCTTGAACTTCTCAAAAACATCAGACTTATGTTTCAAAAAATACACCCAAATTTTCTGTGAAAATTGTCAATAAAGGTAACATAATACATAGATCCACCCAAAGACGATGTCGTGGAAGGCTCCCATACATCCGAATGTACATAATCAAGAATCCCTTCAGTTGTGTGCTTCGCAGTCTTGAAACGAACTTTAGTATGTTTACCAAGAACACAATACTTGCAAAAGTCGAGCTTACAGCTTTTAACACCATGCAACAGATTTCTTTTATCTAATTCAACCATACCACGTTCACTAAGATGAGCAAGACGATATGCCACAGTTTGGTTGTATCATCATAGGACTCAACAGAATGAACTCCACCAACAACGGTACTCCCTAACAATCTGTAAATATTCCCTGCAATCATCTTTCCTTTCATCACAATCAAAGCTCCTTTAACAATCCGAATAGTTTCCCTATCCTCATCAGCCTTAGGGATAAAATCATTCTTGTGCAAAAATGCCCAAAGAAATCAAATTCTTCTTCAAATCTGGGATATGTCGAACACCACTCAACGTCCGAACAGAGCCATCATACATCTTAATTCTGACCTCACCAATACCAACAATATTGCAACATCGATCATCACCAAAATAAACAGAACTATAATTAACTGACCTGTATGTCGAAAACCATTCCATATTTGGTGTGATGTGATAAGAACATCTAGATTCAAGAATCCACACATCCGTCAATTGAGTCGTTGAAATAGAAAACATATCACCCTCACTACAATCAGAATTGTCATCCTCGACCACGTTCATAGACTTGGATGAAACATCACGCTTCTCATCAGTCTGATTTTTCAACTTCGGACAGTCTCGCTTCATATGTCCCGCCTCCTTGCACTTGTAACAGTGAATTATCTTCTTATCCCTAGATTTTGATCTGGAATTCCGCTTGCCAAACCCTACCTTCTCTGGCTTCCGTCCACAGTCTCGATTACCCTTGACATATAAGCTATCGGCTTGAGAGTTTTCTCCTGCATTTTGCTTCCGCTGGTTGTAAGCCAACAAGGTTGCAGTAATCTCCTCAATGTTGATAGTCTCTTTCCCATATGTAAGAGTAGTCACCATATGTTCGTAAGAGGGAGGCAACGAACACAACAGAATCATCGCTCTGTCTTCATCCTCAATTTTCACATCAAGCCGAGCCAAATCAGAAATGATTTGATTGAAGACATTCACGTATTGCACCAAATCATTATCGTCCTGCATCTTCAGCCCATATAGCCGCTGCTTTAGATACAATTTTGTCGTTAAGGATTTGGACATAAACTGACTTTCCAACTTCCTCCAAATTTTGTCTGGAGATGATAGATGCATGACATGATACATAACCTCATCCCCCAAGCATAATCGTATGGTTCCTGCCGCTCGCTTTTGTAATTCTTCCCAATCGTCCTCCTCCATTGACGCCGTCTTTGTAGGTCGCAAAGCCTTCAGGATCCCCTGCTGCCAACAAATCCTTCACCCTCGTTTGCCATAATCCGAAGTTACCCTGGCCATCGAATTTCACAACTTTGAATTTAACGATGTTCGGCAATGTGCTTACGTCCTCGGTGCCTAGGCGGCGCTAGAAGTTTTATTCAATGTCTCATAGGTTTAGGTTACATCTCTATTTATAATAAAAAAACCTGGTACATAATTACATAATTAACCTTGTACCTTACCGCGTGGGCTACGCCCCCGCACCCTCAACTCACATAATCGTAACCCCCTCTACGAGACTTTCTTTGTAAGGACAGTTGATGTTCGCTTCGCTCACTCCGCTCCATCCCCTGTCCTCTTTACTGGTATATTTATGAGCCATACCTATCAGTATCATTAATGATTTCAAGAATGAGCTATCTGGGTATGTTGAGGAAGTTGGTTTTTCGTCTGTTGTTCTAAATGAAGTCCTTTCGAGTTAGAGAAGATGCCAAAAATTCAATTGGTGTTTCAAAATCTTATTACAGAATTGGCGGGAGACTTCTTTTAGCAAAGTGAATGCTCTAACTGAAAATTGGCTTCTTGTCATGTGGTTGCTGAAGAGACCTTTATTTCAGTCATGGCTTCTCTATTGATTCTCTCCAAAGAAATGCTCATGTTGTCTTGTTCACTTCCTCATGCAATGGTTTGGTGTTAAAATATTATGTGGGGTTGTCATGGATCGTTATAGTGATTGTGGCTTAGTGTTAATTGTGTTTATGACAATATTTATTGTTGTTTAGGTCGCATGTCTTTATTCCTAAGCGAGTGACTATCGATGTACTGGTTTTTTTTTATGATGTTCTTGTTTGTGCTTAGTTGTGTGTATTTTTTTTTCTCCATATTGGTCTAGGGAGGTTTTTAATGAGACGCAAAAGTAGGCTTAGGAGTATGATTTAAATATTTTTAATAAACTCATTTTGCGGAGAAAAAAAATAAACATTAATTAATAACTTGTCATAAAAAATTGACTAATGTAAAAATAAATTAAAAGCATAGATGATGAAATAAGCACAACATTTTCATACACGTTTTATCATATTGGTGAAAACCATCCCTAGTGATAAAAATCATCATGTGGTCTACCGTGAAACATTTTAAGAACTTAAAATTTTCAACAAGCTTCAAGCCTTCGATGTAGGGACGGAAATCCAACAGCCACTATAAACGTAATCAAAGGTCATATTAATTGAACATTGCTTAAAATTCCGAAAACTAGTAATTTGCAAATATTAAATTGAGTACAGTTAGTTGAAAGAATTCTTCCACTGTTTCTAAATATTAATTATTGAAAAATAAGAAATGAAGTAAAATTTTAATAACAAAGGAGAATAACAACCTTTTCTTATAAATATAATCTATATGTTTTATTTCGCTGCTTTGAGTAAAGAATGTGTTAGATTAAAAAAAGACCATTAGCATACATCCTGATCAATTTGACAGACTATCTCTCGTTATCATTATCATCAATAAAGCGGCAAATAATTAAAAATAGGAGCAAAATTTCGATGCTAAGTAAATATTTGACAATAAAAGAACTTGTTGCATACATATATGGAATCATAATTGAACTTGAAGAAGTTAATATTTGATTGTCTAAATACCAATTCTTTTGATACTATGCCTATACCACCTGAACCCCTCTCCAATAATATATCAAACACTTAAGAATGCTTGATTTGTCGGTCTCCTATATAACGCGCCGAAAATGATACCAACTGAGCTACACTCAACTGACATTAATCAGTAACTCAATTCTAAAAAATAGACTAAGTAAAAAAATTAAAAAGCATATATGGTGCACAATAAATGCAACATTTTCATACACGTTTTATCTACTTGGTGATAGCTAACCCTAGAGATAAAAACCACCATGTGTTCTTCACAAAACCATTTCGTATCCTAAGTCTAAAAGGTTTTAATATAGGTGCATAAACCCTTATCCCACCATCATCCTTGACAGTCACCCTCTCACCGGTCGATGGACAATCATTCGTCTTGGTTCTAGCTTGACTGAAGAATAAGTTTATCAAAAGTTTTCCACGTAGCATGTCCGTCTCGAACTTCAACGCGGACGTGAATCCTTCCACGGCCAAGTGGGATATCGAAGACACTCGAAAAATCGAACACATAATTAACCATGTAGTTGGACAAAGTGGAGGACTTTTTTTTTAATTATAATTACAAATACGACATGGGTTTTACTTAGATCAACCCCATGTTCATGGCAAGTAAGAACAAAACTGAGATGCGAGTTGTGATCATCACGGGTTTTACTTGGATAGCCCAAGACATGGGTAAAGATCAAAAGAATGGGGCAGTGGAATTTTTTTTAACGAAATTCAAAGTTTAGGTCACCTTGAAAACTAGTTCCTGGGCGTGGTTGAGGAGGAGTCTAGTGCTCAACGTTGAATGCGATGCTTTGAATGTTAAATTCGGGGTGTTTCCTAGAATGGGACTTTGGAATCTAAACACTGTGAGGAGTTACAGCTATACCACAATGAGCCACCATCATCCTGGGAGGGTGAGGATTATAATTTACGACGGAGGTGCAACCACTAAGAGCATTCCCCATGTAACGTAGACCCATCTCCCCAACTTTCGTCTGGCTATCGGGATTCTTATTGTTCATAGGATTGAATCCGATGAAGCTTTTGCATCGATATTTGCTTCTTGAACCTCCTTTCACGCCATGCTTGTACTTCGAGAATCTTGAACAAATCTTTGGTCTTCAAAGCGAACCAAAAAAACCTCTCTTCCCACCTCTAATTCGATGGCTCCTTCAATTTTCTCTTTTTGTTTCGTGGAAATAAGGAGGGAGACGTTATCACAATCGCCCGATTGAAGAGCCTTTTCTCCTTCGGCTATCATTTCGCCTCAACATTCTGCTATCCTCTTGAACGTGATGTGGTTCCAGCAGTGAAGTGGTATTACTTGCAGTTGAATCATGTTATTCTCTCTGGCAAATGAAATACTTCTGACCAGGGTTCAATATCAGAAAAAATCTCCTTTAAGTAAGACCATTTATGGTCCTCTAATAGTTTATACAGTTCTTGGTCTTCAATTTGTTGTAAAAATTCCGACCTCCCACGTATTTTACCTTTATCTCTCCCAAATTCCAGTTATGTAGTCTTTCTTCAACTTGACGTAAAGTGCAAATTGTTGCCATTGTGCCTACTAGGCACTTGCTTAGCTTCTCCAACGCTTCCTCCTCAACAAGACCCAGAACAGTAACGAGCCCCTTTTAACCTCAGATTCCACGCTATGTAATCCTGTCCCAGTACGGCTTTGTGTTGACGATCTGGTGCCCTCTGAAACCTCAGCCCTATCCTTAGTCGTTTGATTATCTTTCTGATTTCCTTTCTGATCTATATGTTGTGGATATTCAAAGTTTTTCTTCCTCCATTGAAGATGTCTTTCTCTAGGTTTTGCTTCCTTTACTGCTAGTTGAAAACCATTCAGACTAAATCCAACAAGCCTTTCTCTTGTTCTATCTGCATCCTCCTTGTTTGCAAATCTTATGAAACCAAATCGTTTGCCTATCCTATCCATTCTTCTAGCTATGTATGAATCTACAACTTCACCATGTCTACCGAACACTTGTATCAACCCCTTCAAATAATATCTAATCGGAATATTTTGAACGAACAACGAGATCACCTTGCTTCCTCTCATCATTCTGATCTATACGAGCTTTGCTTGATCACCGGGCTACTACTAGCTTGCACTCATCAACGATGCTGCGTTAATTTGTTGCTGATTCTGGGTTTATTGTATGTTGATTCTGGGTAAATGCTCATGTTTCTTGATGTGATGAATAGAGTATTTCACCAATATGCTGATTAATTTATGATAGTTTTCATTGATGATATCCTTGAATATTGTCATTTTGATAATGAAAATGATTTGCATCTTTGATTTGTTCTCTAGAATTTGTGAGAGAATTAACTTAATGCTAAGCTAAGTAAGTGTGAATTTTGGTAGCATGAGATGATATTTTATCATATTGTACCAACGAATGGTATTCGTGTTGATCAATAGAAAATAGAAGCTATTTTGGATTAGAAGACTCCAAAGAATGTTACTAAAGTTCGTAGTGTTCCTAACTTGGTTGGTTATTATATGGTTTCCATTATGGCAGTGCCTTCGATGAAGCTACTCTAGAATAATGTTGTTTCAAGTGGATGAATGAAAGGAAAAAATGTTTTGAAAGGTTGAAGGTTGTGTTGACTGAAGTATCGTTGTTGATTTAACACGAGTTCGAGAAAGATTTTATTGTATATAGTGATGTGTAATACATGGATCTTGGTTATGTATTGATGTAGGATGGTATGGTGGTGATCTATGTTTCTAAGCATTGAAATTGTATGAATGTAACTATCTGACTCAGGATTCAGAGTTAGTGGTTGTTGATTTTGCGTTATATGTTTAATGACACTATTTATGCGGTGAGAGGTATTATTTACATCGAACACAAGATTTAAGTACCTCCACACCGAAAAAGAGTTGAAGTAAAAGTGATGCATTGAATTGTTGAAATATTTTGATTGTTCTATTGATTATCATCGTAATAAGGCGAATGTCATTGAAAATTCTTTGAGCAAAAAACTGTGTTGCGAGAAATATTTGTAAAATTGAATGTGTCTGATGATAGTGGTTTGATGGCGAAATTTCAAGTTAATCAAACTTTATCGCACTAAATAAATTATAAAAGATAAAGGAAATCAAGACAAAGATAAGATAATGAAAAATTTAAACTAACCTCGATCAATCATAAGATTTAATGCATATCATACTAATTATGAAGTCGTGAGATTACTTTAGTGGTTGCTTTAGCAATCATCCTATACTGTCACTAGTTTTTTTTATCTTCAAACCTTTATGAAAGACAACCACCTTCTACAAGTATTGACAAGCAAATGAGTAAATAACGATTAACATATATTTTCTCAAAATTTTATATTTGTGGCTTTTTGGTTTTGGACGACAAAAAAAGATAAATCAAAAACCCTAAGCATATATCACACATATATGACTTGATTCCGGTTAAATTATTTTTTGGTTTTTTGAACCAACTAGTTAATTACAATTAATTTAAAACTCCTTTTAAATTAAATAACAATTTAATTATTACTTATCTAACTCATTTAATTTAAATAAAAATTTCAAATGTATCTCTTATCCGATAATGAATTCAAATTCAACTAAATCTTAATTAAAGCTACTTTATTTAATATTATTTTTGAATCAAATAAAGAAATAATGTATATGTATAATATAGTATCCTATTAAAAGATTACAAATTTAACTTCTTAAAGTTATATTTAGATAATAAATAATCTCATTATCTTAAATTATTATTGAAATTAATAACCACAATTACCCTTATTCATTCATAGTTTATGACCCTATATTTTCAATTAATGGTGGCAGTAAATAAAATCACATTTAATCATACAAGTCATAAGTGTCTCCTAGCAAGACATTATTGCCCAAGTTAAATAAAAAGCTTGTGATATGAGACAATATTAACGCAACTCATGTCATAATCCTTTTATCACACGATATCTTGATAGAATATAAGGCATAAAAAATATCAACCTTATATCGCTCCATTAGTTTCTCAATGCCCGATTAAACTAACTAGACTAATAACATTGATTTCTATAAACTCATTTGAGCACAATCATGCATTTCTCAGTCTCAATCATAGAGGGGCCTTGAGATATCTCTCTTATGATAAGAGAGATAAATTTCATCTTAATCACTCACATCTCCTACATGATTCTTGTCATGTTCAAGTATAACTTTTGCATTTTTTTATTATGTCAAAATATAATAATCATAAAGTTGAGAACTATAGTACTTTCAGGTCAAGGATTTAACGACTTAACTGTTTGAAATTAATATATAACTTTAACCCATGCAATAATCTCAAAACGAGTTGATCCAATATTTATTCTCAAAAAATACATATGAATTTTTATTTGAATCCCATTCACATATCCATCTCATGAATATCTATTGTTAGCTCTTACGAACAATCGAAAAACACCAAGATAAGGGTGATTTGACTTTTAACTTTTTTTGGAAGCAATAAAAAAAAGGATTTGCACAATGATTTAGAGTGGTTTGATTGTATCAACCTAAGTCCACTTACACTACCTTAGTATCCACACTAAGGATTTCTCAAATCCACTAGATTTTCTTACCTTTAATGACAAGGTGTAATCTTACAAACACTTCAAGGTTAATACCCCAAAACCTTGAATACACACTCTCCCAAAGAGTAATTACAAATTAAGCAAACTAAGAGAAAACCTCACAAGTCAAATGTTTGCATAATTTAAGCACTCACCTAAATCACACTTGAGCAAAATAAAATAAACAATGTAGTTCAAAAGTGTATTTACAAAAAAGAATTTGAAAAGTTAGGCACAAAAGAATATTTTGATGTTGGTAGGTTGATTCAATATGGTTGTTGATGACCTTAGGATGTTTTGACCGTCAATTTTTACCTCCTGCATCAATTCTATCTGTTTTGATCCGTTGGGGATCATTATAGCCATTATCTGCAACTAAAAACAACATTTAATACACAAGGGATCGATCCGTTTATGAAAGGGATCGATCCTTTATCAAATAATCCGACCGTTGTAGGAAAGAGATCGATCTATTAGAGGAAGGGATCAATCCTTTTGCTGAAGGGATCAATCATTTTTCTCGAGGGATCAATCCTTTGGTGAGGGGATCCAAAACTTTTATAATCTAAGGGGTCTATCATTTGGTCAAATGAATTGATCCTTTTGCTAGGGAATCAATCTTTTAAGACAAAAATCCTTGAAAACTCGACTTTAAAGCGTGAAAATGATCAAGTGTGTTTTTGAAAAGGTTCGACTATGTTGGAAAATATTTAAAACATATTTTTCAAGTAGGGATGTAAAAAACTAACCCGACCTACAAAACTGACTGAAACCAACATGAGCTAAAACTATTTGTGACTCGAGGTGGTGGTGGCCTGAAATTGATTCAAGACCGAATTAGTGTTGATTTAAACCCATATTGGACCTAAAAATTTTGGATTTGTACTAGACATGAGAACGACCTACACTTGTAATTGACTCAACCTATAAATAATCTGAGTTTATATTCAATTGATCTGATATTTACATGACTTGTAAGTTACAATTGATAAAGTTATTATATTTTAAATTTATAATATTATAGTATGAAAAAATACATCTTCACATTAAAAGTACATGATAAACTATGACTATTAAATTAATTTTTTACTTTTTATATTTATCAACTGTAATCTATAAATATACTCAAAATTCTATTAAGTTAATAATTTATGATTGATAAAGTTAATAAAAATAATTTGTAATTCCCTGACAATTTGCTTAGTAACCAAAATGAATAAATTAAAATTTTGATGACCAAAGTATAAACTCTAGACAAATTTAGGGACCAAATGGTAAATTCCAAAAAATTATGTAATTTAGTCCCATAAATGAATAGTTTACCACCAAGAATGACATGGTAATCATATTTTTCATACGGAAATTGTATTAAAGGCTATAGAGCGTTAAAGTTCGAGAAAAATTTCTATAATCTGAACGAATTGAATATTTGGGATATTATGTTCGATGATAAGAAAAGGATAATAATGTCATTTCCATGTCTTAAAATGATAAGATGTAATATGGATCATTGGATTTAAGTTGATTTTTCATGTTAAATCTAAGTCGTTGGATGAAAATGACAAGATTAAAATTTTGGGATTTTTTCAAAGGCAGAGTTGGTATCTACTAACTCCATGGATTAATTATAGCCTTTGGATGAAGTGATGAGCATTGTATTTTATGGGGAAAATTCTCATTTTGTAATAAATTGTATTTTTAATTAATTTTTACATAAAAGATGACAAAAGACTTTAGTGAATGAAATAGAAAATTCAGGATTTTTGTTCATCTTTCTAAAGTTTGTTGTGAGCTCTTAAGGTATGGGAGAATATATTTCTCTTTTGATTTTTCAAGCCATTTAGTTAGGAATTTTGTTGGAAGCATGAAACTTAAAATTGATCTACATGAAATTCTCTATCTTTCGGTACCATTAGTTCATGTTTTTCACACTTAAAACCAATAGAAATGGTTGAAAGATTAAGGTGGATGAAAAAGATGTTAGGATTTGATGTTCTAAGGATTGATTATGATATATAGATGTTGAATCATTTTCATGCTTGAAAGATGATGAAAATTCATTAGAAATCATACATGAAGAATTTGGATGATTAGGGTTTTCATGAAATTGGAAGTTTGAATTAGTTGTTGTTATTGAAATGATTTATAATGCTTAGATATGTTGTTTGGAAGAAGAATTCATGCTTGAATCAAGTTGGATATCATATCTATGATGATACATGATATTTGACCATTGAAGAAAAATTAGGAAAAAATTATTCATTTTTTTAAGACAAATTCGGTAAGTGAATAAATGACATGTTTGATGAGGAAATTTATTAGAAATTAATGTAGAATGCTACAATGAGTTGATAAAAGCTTGAATTTAAGATTAATGGCAATGTACCATTTTAGAAATATGGAAATATTGGATGAATTTTGAAAGATTTTTTAGAGAATTATTTATTGTTATGTACCTATGTATGGTAAGGT